TGTTAGTTAAGATATTATCATATCTTCTCCTTAGAATATTCGATTTTACTTGTACAGCAAGATATGATAAATGTTGAGAGATCTCACAAGATCTCCCTCGGATGTATATAACCACTTGTAAATGAATGATAAAGGCATCGAAGTCTATACACTTTCAATTGCAAGATGAAGATGGTAATAGAATATTCAAGTTGAGCCTTGATATGGAGAATTCTCTCTAGATGCAACCTTGTTTACCGAAAAATGGTATTCGAATCGGATTTAAGAAATTTCATAAATGTTTACAAACTAAAATCTATTTACCACTTTTCCCCAAAACCATTTTTCAGTTTTATTTTTTCTTGTCCTCTTTTTCTAAATACAATTTAGCAAGAAGATTCACATCCTACAACTTGACAAATTTAAAGAAGAAAAATGAAAAAGAAAATCCGAAAAAGGAAATGTCACAAAGCATTGATTATGGCCTGCTTCTTGGAACACCGTAACGCAAACATATCTACATCAAGAGATCTCTTTCCACCGCACACGGCTACGACGTCGTTTGGCTTCGCGTTTGTCACATTGAAAATATCAACTCCGAAAAGCCTAACCACAACCTGAACCGGGTTATTATTGCTCGGGCCGGACCTGATTTTCCAATCGATATAAAGCTGCCGGTCTGGTCCGGTCGATCTCTCGAAAGTAACAACATCACCGGCTCGGAGATTCTTCTCCTTAACGAAACGACTCCATCCTTTGGTCAACACGTAACTCTGACTACTGTTCCAGTATGAGTAACGGAACCTCCACACTTTACCCGTAACGTCTTCGAAGTTTATCAGAACACCTTTACTCGCCGGTGATAACGGTAACGGGAAGTGTTTCTCTGCGTGCTGCTTAGGTATCACGAGCCGGTTCAGCTTCCCTACATCACTAGGCGTAACAGCTTTCTCGAATAGGACTTCACGGGTTCTTGAAACGACGTCGTTTTGAGCCCTGTTACGTTTTCCGTCGACGGAGAGTATTCGACGTTTATTGCTCTGGTCAAGTTCGTCCGCGTAAGTGTGTTTCCTCAACATGTCAACGATCTCAGCTTTTGAGTGAGCTTCAAGAAAAGCCAACACATCGTCGCCGATGGTTGTTTTGAAGTTGACGACGGCGTCACGGCCGCGGAATTTACGGGCCGCGATGTCGTAAGAACGAGCAGCTTCCTCTTCCTCGTTGAAAGTACCGAGCCAAACTCGTTGGTGTTTCTCGTAAATCTGAGCTCCCCATCTTCCGTTAGGTTGAGGAACCACTCCTTTGTATTTAGACGACGGTAGCTTCCGTGACTCGGTCTCTACACCGTTCTCGGAGTCCAAGACGACGCTGCTTCCACCGCTTCCCATCCGGTAGAGGCGTAACGCCACCACC